CCATTTTTTACATCCAGTCTATCACTTTACATTTCCCTAAAATACTGAGTGTGCTTCAGTAAAGCAGAGCATTGTGTATCTGCAGCCTGTGGACAGACAGCGAGGAGGAAACACGAGTCGGCAGCAGACAGCTGTGTTTTGGTTGTAATGACATCACTGCTCATTAGAGGCCCATCAGTTTTTGAGCAGGTGCACGGGTGTGTGTGTGCGCGCGAGCGCTCGTGCATTGTCATCTCTGCAGGATAGCATATTCCCCTCATGCACGGCTGTAATTACCGCCCACTTTCTTGCAGCGACATGCCGCATCCTGACACCAGTTAGAGCCACACAGAGGGAATTGAGGGTCTCCAATGAACCCCACGCCGAGCTTCCCTCAGCTGACCTGGCTGTCATCCAATCATCTTTTACGTTCTGCTTTTGCCACATATAGATCAGACCTTTTGTTACACGAACTGCTCCGAGTTTACACAGAGTAACTTTGTGTCTCTGGAAAACAGCTTTGGTGAATTCCAGATGCAAGATATATGCATATTAAAAAACGATATAACTATAAATAGGAGCAATATCAGCGTTTTAGCTTCGTAGGGACTCTTGCTATTTCTGGCCGCAATCTCTGTAAGAATGACAACGTGTTTTTTTGTGTTGAACACAGAATTTCTTTGATCTCAGTGGTTTAAAGCTTTTGAGGATTTTGCAGATAGTTTCAGCGAAACAGTAAAAGCCAAAATTCTGCAGATTAAAATAAAGAGCAAAAAAATAAATTCTAGCGACTACCATGGGAAAAACTCGAGGCTGAAAAGCAAAAAACTGCAGTTCCTCTGATGGCCACTTGGGACTTTATCCAAAAGTGAGTCAAATCCCCACCCAAACAATAAAGCTCCTTTTGCTGCTCTGTTATTGCCAATCAGAAAATCATTTTCCATGTAACCTTTATGGGTTCAAGTGTTTGTGCAACCACAACTATTGCCATCTGATGGCCTTTCACGTTGATCTCAGTTTCTGACCTCGAAGCTACATCCATGTTTTATACTGTCTATGACCCAAACTGAAGCCCAGACTTATTGGCTGATCCACCCCTCAGAGATATCACAGCACCAACAACACAAACACAGCTGAGGCATCCAGTTCAGTGACTAGAAAATTCTGGAGATGAAGCCAAGTGGACGCCAGAGTGGACGCCAGCATAAACTATTTATATAATTTTCTGTTTGTTCCAGGCTGTAAACATGTTGGTCATTTATAAAGTTACTAAAAGTTTTCACCACTAGATTTCAGTAGTTTGCCAGCTGCAGTCAACCGAGTTCTGTTTTCTTATTTGTCACAATTCAAGTGTATAATCCTAGCTATGGCGTCTGCTATAAGACAAACAACCTTCCTTTCATATCAAAAATCCTTGAAAGAGTACACAGCAAAATCTCCAGTGTTAAATTAACACTGGAGAGTGTCTATATGGGTCCACGCCTCTGAGTGTTAAATTAACACTTTTGACAGTGTCATATGTTTAAAAGTAACCTAGTCAGTTTTGAAGATTAACAAAGACTAACACTGAGCAGTGCTGATTTTCTAACACTGGAAAATAACTCAAAATGTTAGAAATATTCTCCAAATATGTGTTAATTTAACACTGGAGATTTTGCTGTGTAGTTGTCAAACAGCTAACAGATCATCTGCAGAGGAATGGCTTATTTGAAGAGTTTCAGTCAGGTTTCAGAGCTCAGCACAGCACAGAAACAGCTTTAGTGAAGGTTACAAATGATCTTCTTATGGCCTCTGACAGTGGACTCATCTCTGTGCTTGTCTTGCTAGACCTCAGTGCAGCGTTTGATACCATTGACCATAATATCCTATTAGAGCAATTAGAACATGCTGTAGGTATTACAGGTACTGTGCTGCAGTGGTTTCTATCATATCTATCTAATAGACTCCAATTTGTGCATGTAAATGGAGAGTCCTCTTCACACACTAAGGTCAGTTATGGTGTTCCACAGGGTTTGGTGCTAGGACCAGTTCTGTTTACATTATACATGCTTCCCTTAGGCAGTATCATTAGAAGACATAGCATACATTTTCACTGCTATGCAGATGACACCCAGCTCTATCTGTCCATGAAGCCAGATAACACACACCAATTAGTTAAACTGCAGGAATGTCTTAAAGACATAAAGACCTGGATGGCCGCTAACTTTCTGCTTCTTAATTCAGATAAAACTGAGGTTATTGTACTCGGCCCTGAAAATCTTAGAAATATGGTATCTAACCAGATTCTTACTCTGGATGGCATTACCTTGGCCTCCAGTAACGCTGTGAGGAACCTTGGAGTCATTTTTGACCAGGACATGTCCTTCAACGCACATATTAAACAAATATGTAAGACTGCTTTCTTCCATTTGCGCAACATCTCTAAAATTAGAAATATCCTGTCTCAGAGTGACGCTGAAAAACTAGTTCATGCATTTATTACTTCCAGGCTGGACTACTGTAATTCATTATTATCAGGATGTCCAAAAAACTCACTGAAAAGCCTTCAGCTAATCCAAAATGCTGCAGCAAGAGTACTGACAGGGACTAGAAAGAGAGAGCATATTTCTCCTGTTTTGGCTTCCCTTCATTGGCTTCCTGTTAAATCCAGAATTGAATTCAAAATCCTGCTCCTCACATACAAGGTCTTAAATAATCAGGCCCCATCTTATCTTAATGACCTTGTAGTACCATATCACCCTATTAGAGCACTTCGCTCTCGCTCTGCAGGCCTACTTGTTGTTCCTAGAGTATTTAAAAGTAGAATGGGAGGCAGAGCCTTCAGTTTTCAGGCCCCTCTTCTGTGGAACCAGCTTCCAGTTTGGATTCGGGAGACAGACACTATCTCTACTTTTAAGATTAGGCTTAAAACTTTCCTTTTTGCTAAAGCATATAGTTAGGGCTGGACCAGGTGACCCTGAATCCTCCCTTAGTTATGCTGCAATAGACGTAGGCTGCCGGGGGATTCCCATGATGCATTGAGTTTTTCCTTTCCAGTCACCTTTCTCACTCACTATGTATTAACAGACCTCTCTGCATTGAATCATATCTGTTATTAACCTCTGTCTCTCTTCCACAGCATGTCTTTTATCCTGTCTTCCTTCTCTCACCCCAACCGGTCGCAGCAGATGGCCGCCCCTCCCTGAGCCTGGTTCTGCCGGAGGTTTCTTCCTGTTAAAAGGGAGTTTTTCCTTCCCACTGTCGCCAAAGTGCTTGCTCATAGGGGGTCATATGATTGTTGGGTTTTTCTCTGTATCTATGAAGCGCCTTGAGGGACTTTTGTTGTGATTTGGCGCTATATAAATAAAATTGAATTGAATTGAATGTTAGTCACTCAAGACAAAACATTAAATTTAGACTGTATTGGCTATGGCCGGTGTGTTTGTCTGGACTGGATCAGCCCTTGAGTTTTTTCCCCATCTGTGGAATGCTGCCAGTCTACTGTTTACCTCAGCTGTCAACATGGGTGAAAAGCATGCACTTTTACTTACTCCGGAAGAGGCTATAAAACTTTGTGAGGACTGTGATACGGGTCAGTAATTCAGAGACGCTAATCTGACCGATGAAAGCTGAACTGTCCGTAGTGCTGCTGATTTTGCTACTGTTAACTGCTGTTAACCCCTGTTAGCTGTTGTTAGCTGCTGTTCCCTAGCATTAGTGATACTTTCTTTGAAGTGGATGTAACATCGTTATTTTAGTTTAGTTTTAGCTAATGATAATAAACCTGTTAATTATACACTATTTTTATTTGTGAGTACTGTACGTTTACCATGGGAGCCTATGGAGACTGTACCTCCAGCAGCCAGTAGAAAAACTCTTTTTGGTCCCTTTATATAATTTACTTCTTTAAAACAATTGTTCCAGGTTAGATTTTTGTTTGGGAACTCAGCCTTCAATTTTTATTGAGGCTTCATGGCTTGGGCGCTTTGACTAATTAAAGCTACAGCCTATTGTGTCTCCTAGGACTGACCCGTGCTAACTGGTTTGAGTTTAAGCCTTCTATAAAAATAAATTAGCTGATTAATATCATGAGACATCACTGCACTAATTAGGAGACATGTGTCTGTGAGTTGCACCCTTATAGTTTATGGATTCTAACCAAGCTTGCTGCCATTCGGTTGATAACTAAGCGCTTTGCCTTCTTGTCGAAATATGGCCACTGACTCAAAATGATGTCATAGTATACATAGTCTATGGTTAGGACCTGGTCAGCATTAGGATACAGTCACTTCAGTTATGCTAAAATAGCAGTTACACACTTGTGGGAACAGAACATTACCTTCTGACCTAAAAATGACTTCACTGTCTGTAGATTTCTATTGTGCAGCGTAGCTCGGCATGTATAAATAGCACAGCTGAAACAAAATGACAGTTGCTGTATCACATTTCATTTCAAATGTTGAGTACAAATCTGCTGCAAGCCCTTGTCTTTCAGAGGCAAATTGGTTTTCCTGTATGATGCTGTGAGATATTGAAATGTCTGGAGAGAAAAGCTGCAGCGATATACACTAAAAATTACTTGTCGCCATAGCTACCACCCACTAATCCCTGCTGAAAGCCCAGAAAGGATCAGCAGAGCCCAACATTGTCCTTTGATTGACAGAAGACGTACATGAATCTGTAGCATACATTGTGTGACTCCCAGCGATGTATTGTTTTAAATTAGCATGCTGTAGCAGCACATGTGTGTGAAGAAGCTGTTGTTCCTCTTTAAGGGTGACATATTTACCCGGTGTCAGAGAAAGGTGTGTCTTTTTGCCACTCGGCACTAACTGAATGCAATAATTACAGGTTGCAAAAAGGAGGAACAGACATATTACAGAAAAAGATGAACAGAGGATGTAAACAAACTCCCGGCTAGGTGCACACAGCAACACAACAGTCAGGTGCAGAAAGTACTAAAGTTGCTGTCACACCCATCAATCAGTGAAACCTGCTTCATCCTCCGCATGGAGGAACCACAGCTAACAGTGTGAGAGAGACAGGGTGAAAGGTTTATTTATTACAGATATTCTTAGACTTTGCTTGAGAAGGTTCTGGTTTCTCACCAGCTCTCAATCCATCAGAGCACCTTTGAGATGTGGGAGCCAACAAATCACATCAACGTGGACCAAAATCTTCATGAAGAAGAATTACTCTAAGGCAGTTCTGGAGTCAAAAAGGGTCCAACGCAGCGCTAGGTGTACACAACAAATTTTCCTTTGGATATATGTGCACACTTTGAAAACACTGGCTTCTCAGACAGTTATGAACCGTTTCATATGCTAAGTGACGCAATACGATTGGCTGATTAGAAGTAATTCACTCCTTGCAGCCAGGGGCCATCTTTAGCATCTCAAAAACCCTCCAGTCAATTTGTTGTTGTTACCTGGGGAAAAAGTGGGCAGGGACAATCTGAAATGATTAAATCTGATTGGCAGATTAATGCATATTACTGAGAATGAGTTAATCTGTCATGCCCGGCAGCTTGGAGTTTCTTCCACTGATGGCACGGAGATACTTTCTCAGTAATAAGAAAATAATGACATCCCACGGGTCCACTTCCACACTCAAAACATCCTTCTTTCCTCCCATTCCTGTGACGTGCTCATGGTGCAGATGTAAATACAGCTGCGGTCATGGTACTCAGCATCTAGGTAGCATCTTTTCAAACACTGACTGCTGATTCATCTCATCCAAGTCAGTTTTGTTGTCAATACACTGACAGTCGGGTACACAGAATATATGCTGGTCTCCCAGCTGTTGCATAGGATTTATGATGTCCAGTACACACAGTGAGCCTTGTGCAGCTCTAACTGCTGTTTTGGCGATGGCAGTTCACTTAACCAACATGAGTGCCAATAATAACAAAAAAAAGAATAGCCTTAAAGAATAGATAAATCCTTTGCGGTGCCACTATCGCTAAGAACTAAACTTAACCTTTAAAATGGATTACCATTTTAATAAAAAAATCATTAAAAAAAAGTGGCAGAACAGCACACTGGTGTAGTGCCTCAATTGTCAGGTGGGAGATCAATTTCATCCAGCCGCTCGGTGATGGGCGTGCTGAACAGAGCCGACTTCCTGAAGGGTCCCTTCGAGCTCCGGGCGGCAGTCACACCCTGTGACACAAAAATACACTATGACTTGGCGATATGGCCTAAAATCCATATCGCGGTATAATTTGAAGCACGTGCGGTAACGATATATATCGCGATATATTCTTTTCTTCTGTATAACGTATTTTACACACTATAAGGCACACTTAAAATCCTTTAATTTTCTCAAAAATCGAGAGTGTGCCTTATGTATGAATTCTGGTTGTGCTTACTGACCTCGAACTGATTTTGGCGTGCAGAAATCTGTTAAAAAATGTTTTAGTACAACTTTGTTAAGCCACACTGCTTGATGGATTGTCAGAGCATTACGGCTGCCGTAGTGAGGAGCTTCGCGGAGTAATCTGGGTCCAAAACTCCGTCCTGTTCAGGTCCCAAACGAACACTGAGAGTTAAAAACGGTCTAAATTCTTTCATCTTTAATTAAATCATCAGTGATGCTGCTTTACCAGGTGTAACAATTAAGTTTAACATCCAGGCATCCATGAAAACAGAATTTATTAAATTTAACGGAGTTAGAAGTTAACAGGAAGTTAGCTCGCAAGTTTCCACCTAAACATGACATACCATGTTCTGACTGAGAGATTTTTGAAACTAATTAAAACGTACAGCTCTGCTACCACTTCCAACATAAATGAAGACAGAAAACTAAACAGCAGTGGCGTTTGCAGGGTTACTGAAGTTGGACTACCTGGTATATCTTATCTATCTTATCTCTTATCTTATATAATGTTGTGCTACCTGATTGCTAGCGACACAGCTATGTTAGCATAACATTAGCACAGTGAAGCTGGAGGATGAACGCCAACTTTTTTCCACTCGATAAAAGTTAACGTGAGGGATTCTGGTGGTCAGGGACAAATGCAATCGCATAGCAGGATGCTATACACGGGCCAAACTTCAGTCAGGAGAACAACTGAGATTATTCATCCACAATACGAGGTTAGTTATTAATATACTGCAACAAGATGGGAATAGAGAGAGAATTCAACATTAATGAATCAATGTTACGGACGTCATCAACATGCACTATCGCGATAGATCGGTATAGTCAAAATCTCTATCGTTGGCCAAATTTATATCGTTTCTATCGTATATCGTTTATATCACCCACCCCTACTATGACTAATCACAGCAGAGAGAGGTGATTAATAATCTCCTCTTGACCTTGGTGGATAAGTGTGACTCTCCTGCTGCTGTTGTGTGTTCCCTGACATATTTCATGGTGGTATTAGTGGCTAAACAGTATTCTTTAAGAAAGGAAAACAGCTGCTCAGACACTAAGGACAGACCGCAAACACAAGTGTTCATCATCAGACAGGGAAAATTGCTGTGCTGTTGATCACATATAACTTTCAACCGATAAATAAATCACTTAAATAGAACTTAAATATGGATATTTTAAAGGAGAGAAAAAGAAACCACTATGAGATAAAGCAGTCTGACTTACCTGTATCTGCTGGCAGTTTTCACTCCAGAATGTGATGGCCTGGTCAGTTTTGTAGTCATGAACCTGTAAAAAATTAAACCAGTAAAATGTCAGAAAGATTTTCAGGCTTTTATAGGAGAGGCTGATGATGTACTTATTATTTTAGGTAATCTGCTTCTCACAGCAACTGTGTATTTCACATAACCAAAATACAAATAAGTCAAAGAGGAGGAAATAAAAGTATGGAAGTTTATTTTGTAGTTTTGAAATCAGATTGTTGCTGTTTGGGGAGATTACGCACAGACACAAACACACACAAAGTTTGTAACTCTACATACACGTGTTGTTTCAGGTTTATGAGGCACAAATCCCTCCACACAGAAATCCTTCTGGGTTGTGGAGCAGTACTCCGTTTTGGGAGTCAGTGGGTTCAGATCAGCATGAATCTTCTCACTGTGAAAACAAGAAGACAGAATCTAAGCACCAAGCAGCAGCACTTGCCTGTGATCCAGCACATACAGTTTTTGTTGTTGTTTTGTTTTTTTAAGTGTAGCATGATGTAATTAAATGATTTTGTAAACAACCTATTTACTATAAAATATACTGAAAGTTGCTGCACATTGAAAGGAGCCAGCTGAAGTGGTTTGGGCATTTATGCCTCCCGTGCGCCTCCTCAGAGAGGTTTGTGAAGCCCCTGGGCAGAACCAGGACATGCTGAGGAGAGACTATGTCTCCTGGCTGGCTTGGAAATGCCTTGGCTTCCCCCAGATTAGCTAGAGGTGGAGGTGCTAGAGGGAGGTCTGGACATCTCTGCTGCCCACACAACTGAGACCCAGATAAACAGCAGAAAATGGATGGTTGGATGAATTCTAGGTCTTTCCTGAAATCAAAAATCAATCAGTGCTTCCCATCTGAACTCCTCAGACACAGATGATTTTTTTCCTATAGTGACGTGAATATATTGAAAGAAGCCACACAAAAATTTTGAGGTGGGTTGAAGATTTATGCTCTCTCTTGTTTCCCAGAAGTTCTGAAAATCATTGCATTTCAAGTACAGAGATATCCAGCAGACCTGCAATATATTTTTATGTTTTATACACAAAGCTTGCAGTCTGAACAAAGAGAGAAGTCTGAGTAACATGTCCAAGTTATCATTTAGAACATGCAAAGAACACTATTTCACAGCCATAAGCTGCACGTTAGAAAGGTATTTTGGAAACAAAATGTATGTAAGAAGCAGAACTTGTTTTAATCATCCAATTACCCAGTTTACACCTTTTCAAGTTTTCTCCATTTTCTTAAATTTGTTTTTCCATTCCTGAAATTTTCACATGGCTGCTTCATGTACTTAAGAAGAAAATTTGCCTTTAACTCCTGTGTGTAGGGCCTGCAACTCAGAAAATATTCAGAATTCATTCATAATGCTAAAGTTAGTATCATAAAAAGAAAATAAAATCAACTGCTTCTGAAAGGAGTGATTTAAAAAAGAAAAATTATATGCAATTATCCATCTGCCTCATTTGCTATTAAGATTAGCCATCCTGGAATGATGTCTGACCATACAAGGATGGTTTTTGCTTTCTTTCAAATCTTTTGACAGAACGTAGCACGCAAGCTGAAGCGTTGCATTCACTGGAAATAGTAAAGTCGTCTAGCCCTAGCAGGTGCAAGAAGCACTATTAGCCAGGCGCAGTCTGCTCATGCCCACACAGTCCAGCGAAGAGCTCTAATAAATGCAAACATGTGTGGGTGAGCTGATGGTGTGCAGGGCGTTTAAGGCTCCTGGTGTAAGCATCATTTATTTGCATCGTTTCACGACACTCAGTGTCTCTGTGGTATTACATATAGTATATAAAATATGTCATACTGGACTGAAATGAAACTCAAAGCTTGATACTCCGCCAATCTCCCATCTGGCTAGGATTATTTATACACAGTGTTGTGCTTTACATAACAGCCAATCAGCCAAATCATACAAGGCTATTGGACACACCATTGGTGTTTGCTTATAAAACTCAGGAAATTTAGTGTATGGTTTAAAATCAAATGATGACACACTGTCTACTACGAGTCAAAAAGTTTTCATTGAAGACATTACGCTTTGCAGGCTTTTATGAGTTGTTAACTTGTGTGGGATGTTAACAACCACCTCTGCAGGGATGGACTTTATAAACCCCATAAGGGTGACTGGCCCCTGTGTAAAATAACACCATAAAGTCTGATTTAAAAGCTATCACAGCTGTGACTGAACAGTAAAACAAACCCCGACGTGTAAATATTACATCACCTTCCCCTCAAGACATGGTCAGGCAGTGCTCCTCGTCTCCATAAACAAACCACTTCCAGAAATAATTCGTTTAACATCAAAAGACTTGTTCATAGTTCATTTACCTTATCATCTGGGCAGTGTGTTTTTTAAGCAGCTCGCCTCTGATGCCTGAACCGAGGAAAATATAAAAGACAGGATGAACAGGGCATGCATAGAAAGCCATCCCCCAGAATAAAAAACTTTTTTAAATTGAAATAAGAAGAGGTCACATCAAATAATAAAACCTTTCAGCTCTTTGTAAATGCTTCTCTGTTCTTTACATGGCTCTTAATGGTATGGGTTTCAACATTTTTTTTCATTCTGGCTGGTGAAAGATAAAGACACATACCCTGTAACTTCCCCACTGGAGTCTTTGGAGCAACATAAGCTGCTTTCAGCGTAGTCACAGACTCCATCTTGGACTCCAGGTCTATTGTGAGAATCCCCTTGTGGCCATGTATGTGCTTGTGTGTCTTTGGGTCCTCTGTATGGAGATCTGCAATGGCTCTCTGGGTAAAAAAAAAAAAAATCACAGGATTTTTTTAGTCGGGTGGAAAACCATAAAAATCTACAATTTTGGATAAGTAAAAAAATGTTTTTGTACTTTTGCAACTGTACACCATCACAGCTGATTATAAATCAGACAATCAAGACATGACTGCAGTGCAAACTTTCAGCTTTATTTCAAATGGTTTTACAAATGTATTGAATTATCTGGTGAGGAATTACAACTATATTGATACACAATTACTGGCCAGTCCATTAGGTACACCTGTTCTTTTTAAACTGCTTTTTAATGCAACTATTGAATTAGCCAATTACATTGTAGTAACTCACTGCATTTAGACATGCAGATATGGTCAAGATGATCTGCTCAAGTTCAAATCAAGCCTCAGAATGGGGGAGAAAGGTCATTTAAGAACATGGCGTGGATGATCTGGGTATTTCAGGAACTGCCCATCTACACGAATTTTCCCACAGAACCGTCTCTAGGGTTTACAGAGAATGGTCCAAAAAAGAAAAAAAATATCCAATGAGCAGCAGTTCTCACGGGTAAAATGACTTGTTGATGCCAGAGGTCAGAGAATGGCCCGACTGGTTTGAGCTGAAGGTAACAGAAACTCAAACAACCACTTGTCATAAGCAAGGTATGCAGAAGGACATCTCTAAATACTACACAAAATAGCAAACCTTGAAGCAGATGGGCTACAGCAGGAGCAGACCATACGAAGAATTAAGGCAATTCTGAAGGTAGAATTGGATCCAACTTAGTGCTAGCAGTGCTAGCAAGGTGTACCTAATTCTGTGGCCCTGAGTGACATCCGTGTTATAACATATACTTGCTGTGTCAGGGACTCTGTCTTTCAAATATGGTTACCTAGACACCAGGTGTTAGCTCCAGGTATATTAATTATTAGATTAAATTAGCAAACGTTGTTAAGAAGTCTCGCGTGAACTTTTAACTTTAGCTAAACCTCGGAAATGGTTCACAGCACTCACCTCTTCGACCCAGTTATGCAACATCGGTTTTCCAACTTTATGTCCCACAGCGGCTGTCTGCTCGGTCATAACGGGAACAAAACTATGGAACTGGACTGAACGCAAGTGAATGGAGCTGCGGGTAGCTTCGGGATCGTCTTTCTAAGTTAAAGTTTACGAGCATCGCTTAGCAACAGCGTTTGTTCGACGGAAGCGTCGCCATGACAACAACAACAATGCACAACGTAGCACGTTGTAAGAAAAGGTAAACTTCCGGGTGGAATGCATTTTAAAACCTTATTTGGGGCCAACATTAGCAAACCCATGTTTTTAATCAGACTTGGCTGGTGATTCTATTTTATGAGCCAGTAGCAACTGAAATTAAATAAAATTTAGACAATGCTTTAAAACAGCTAAGATTTAAGATGGCTGTCAAATTGTGGGGACTGTACGTTCCAGGTCCTAACCTGAGGTCCTCAGCCAAGGTCATCCCACAATTTCAGCTGAGAACCAAGGCTGATCCAGCTTTTTCAGTCAGTGGACCCACTCTCTGAATCAAGCTTCCTAAGAAGGCTCACTGTCATCTTTTAAATCCATCTTAAAGACATATACGCAGCTTTTTTCTGTGCCTCCACTTTGATTTACATTTATGTTCTCCATAATAATTGTTTTATCACCTTCCCCTAATTATCCTTTTTAATTCATTTTTTAATATTTGCTTTTAATTTACCTGTTTTTCCATTTCTAATTTTCTTTATTCCTTGCTCTTATCTCCATTTGTTGCCAGTATTCTTTATGTTATTTCATTCCATTTCCCATCTTGTACTGTGAAGCACTTTGTAACTTTGTTTTGAAAGGTGCCATGTATAAATAAAGTTATTATTATTCAAGTTATATATAGTCTGTCAAATATCATCCACAGTTACAGAGGAGCTAAAAAGCTTTCCTCAGAATGAAAGTGGAATAAGACATTCTTCTTCACATTCTTTCGGGTGAGCACAGAGGCAGAGCTTCTAGTCTCCAGGAGACAGCTGAGCGAGAAAGTGCTGTCCCGTGGGGTGCAATTAAAGTGAACAAAGATGACACCCCTGTCATCTGATCACCTGGTAAAACGGCTTTACAGCCATTCGCTGATTGATCCATCTACGGGTACAGCCATCCTGCTGAGCAAGGGTTGTGCTGCCATTGGAGGAACATTTCAGGTCAGAATTTTTTTCTCCCCCTCTATTGAACTCTCTTATTCTTCCATTACATAAGGCAGAGCTTGATTCAGCTGTGAACAGTGAAACAGCAACTATAAATCATCAAGTGAACATGAGAAAGTATAGTTGTATTAATATGATCCATACAGGCAGATTTTTATAAAGAAACTATATCTTTTTTAGACCGACAGACTCCAAGTGCAGCCCTTAATACTTCAATGTGTCTCAGTTCAGATACACTGTCATGTAGTACACTAGAAAGCACATACTTTCATTGTCAGTAAGGTGCTGTTGTCTCAAACTGTACATGGCATGTTGTGCATTTTTGGAAAATATAATATAATAAAATATAATATGATTTCTGCATTTGTACGACTGATTTTTCGGAACATTTACAACTTGTTCATTCACACATCCAGAGCAATATACTTCTAGATTTAATAAACAAAGCCCAGCAGACACATGGAAAGACCAGACAAAAATCTGCTGCCGGTGGAAACTGGTAGTCCCTCCCTGCTTGCTTCAAGATAGTAACGCTTGATCGTGAGGCCTTTTAAGTCTTCCACAATTGACAGTTTCACAATACATATTCTATGTGTCACAAACTGGCCTACACAAACATGACAGAAAGAGAGATGCACAGCAAATGACAATTAAAAACCTCTTCATTTAAAACTAAATAAACCAGGGGTGGCCAACCAGTCAGAGACCAAGAGCCACTTTTTTATTGTGTTACCACAAATAGCCACATCATACACATGAGCACACATGAACATCACCCATCCCTTCCTCTCTCTCTCTCCCTCTCTCTCACACACACGCACAAAAAATACACACACCTCTGCTCAGCCAGATTTATTGTAAATGTCACACACCAACATGATAATGACAGAAATGGACTCCTACAGTACTAAAACCACAGGCCAGTCATTTTCTGTCATGAACCGAAGTTCAGTACGCAAGCTGGACCCAGAAGCAGAGACAACACGCACAGGAGTACGAAAAATAAACTTTATTTCAACTAAAGGTGTCCCGGAAGGGTCAAAGGAAAACACGCGAGAAACTAGAAAAACCAAGGGACCGGGGGATGAGTTACGCAGGAACGCAGTAATCGGGACTGTGGGAGGCTGCAACAGAAAGAGGAAGAGAGTTACTGGGGAGCGGGGAAATAGCAGCATACGTGGGGGAGAGTATGAGTCTTACAGTCAAAGCGGGGCCGTGGGAGCCGGAGGGAGGGGTGAGGGTCCGCGGGGGAGCTCCAGGAAAGTAGAGGTGATTGGTACCGGAGGCGATCCAAACTCCAGACGGGCAGGTGGACAGGCAGGTGGCTCAAAAACACGCCGAGCTGTTACCTGAGCGCAAAGGAAAAGATTAGCGTTTGTTCAGGTAAATGAGGGTTTTCACAACCGCCTTCCCGTGGGTGTACGTTACCGCTGTGAGACGACTAACGGACTGGCGTGGAGCAGCTGGCTGGGCTGGATCAAATAGTCCACCTGATAATCGCCTGAGATGGGATGCAGGTGTGGAGTTAACAGCCACACCCGTGGGCGTGGGCATCCCATCAGCTCCTCGGACACCGGGCTGCGGACCATGACATTTTCAACAATGAACATTGTGTGCACTGTCTCACACACACAAACTCTCAGTTCAACCAAGTCCACAAACAAAAATATAATAATCTACAATAGCATTTTTCTTTTGCTATGCATGTTCTTTAGTGGGACTTCTGGCATTCCTTGCCTTGAACACTCCTCTTCAAATTTGGCTTGTATTCCATTGTTGTCACTCAAAGCAATTCTTTCACATGAGTGTCAGTCAGAACAGATCGATGCTTTGATTTCACATATTTTAGGGTAGAAAACACAGACTCGTGACAGTATCTTAAGAGCAGCCCATTTAATATTGGGGTATTTTTCCATTGGCACACTTTTCCAGAAATCAATTGTCCATTCCCTTAAAACAGGTTTCAATTGGTCCTCCTCATAAAGATCAATCATCTCCAACTCAGCCGCAGCTTCATCTGTGACTAGCGGGACTTTCAAACAGTCCGTCTGTGCATTAAATGGGTCGACGAGGAACGTAATCTGTGGCCTTTTCTATTGTAGATCACGGAACCAGGTCACAAAGCTTTCGTGCAAGTTTTCAACCAGCATTGCATATCTGGCTCTTTGCTTACTCAGGGCGGCGCTGGCAACTTGCCCGCTGGCTTTAAGCAGAGTGGGAAAATGCGTTAAATCTCCTTTTTGAATATGCGCCTTGGACAGCTGTAGTTTGTTGACAAACGCAAACACACTTTGCACCAGGTCAGGCAGCATTTTTAACTTACCCTGCAGGGTCAGTTTCAGTCTTTCCAAGTGACACAGATCCATAATCCATTTGAGGTCCGAGAGCTTGGGATAGTCCTTGTCCTTCTCTTCCATAAACAGTTTCACGGCATCCAAAAGCTCAAAGAAGCGAGAGAGTACCTGGCCTTTTGACAGCCACCTCACAGTGCAGTGCAGCGGCAGGTCACCTGGAAGCCCTTGGTCCAGCTCAGCGATGAGATTCTTGAATTGTGTGTGGATATAGTTGACGACTTCCATCACAGGATTTAAGACGTTATGTAAATTCATTGATTTAGACACGAGTTGCTCCATGTGGATGATGCAGTGGAAATTCCAAAACTCAGGAAATGTTTGGTCAGCTTTGCACAACCCCACAAGCACGTTCACAGATCCCATCATGGCTGGTGCTCCATCTGTGGCTATTGCAGTTATTTTCGTTATGGGCAGATTTGCTTTTTCAAATGCAGCCATCATGGTTTCTTTTACGTCTATGCCACGGGTTCTGTCTTTTAATGGCACAATATCCAGGAGTTCTTTGATCACACAATCGCTTGACACAGACGATTGCCAATTGAGGCTTGTCTTGTATATCACAACTCTCATCCAATGCGACACTAAAATACTCGTGCTTGAAGGTCAGAGTGCAACTGTGTTTCAATAACCGTGTTAATGTCCGATATTCTGTGTCCAGCAGATTTCAAGATTTCAGCAACATCACTGAGGCATTTTTTAACAAACTCCGCTTCATTGTATGGGTTTTTAGCCCTTGCAATGTTCCAAGCCAGCTGATAGGAGCGTTATGGTCTCTAAGCGCTTCGTAAACTTTGGGAAAAACTGTATCTGCTTTTCTGCCTGACTTTTCAAAATGGCCAACTCGTGCCTGCGAAGTTCAGTCCCTTTTGGTAATCCCTGGTCAATGTTAGCATGGAGTGAGCTTTGAAGCTTTGAAATGCGCTAATTACATCTGACATATGAGACATGGCTTGCCATTGCGTTTAACAAAAATATATAAACTCTCCCACTCTGTTTAAAACGTCCTGTATTCATCTTCATGTTTTCGTTTTGCTGTGCATTTTTTCCCTGCCATTTTAAGGGTGAACTTGCCCCTACTGAGAAACTTTGCGGTATTTTCATCTCACCCACATGCGCATTTGATGAAAATACCATATTGAATTCAAGCAAAGTGAACACGCACATTTTAAAACAACATCAACAACAAAAAAACCCTCCAAAACGCAAACACAAACTTTGATATGTACGTAAGAGCCGCATGAAAGTAGGCAAAAGAGCCGCATGCGGCTCAGGAGCCGCGGGTTGGCCACCTCTATGCTAGGCTGTCACAGAGGTAGTCATACATGAGAGAGCAACATTTCTTTAATAAATATGTTAACAATCAGACAGTTTAACACTGCTGGCTTTAACATTTCTGAGTATTTATCCCTCTGGGGAGAAAAGTGAGAGAAAGGAAACAGAGAAAGAAGAAAATGACAATGACATTATTTAAACAGAAGCATCAGATGAGCCTTCAGCTGTTCGGTGAGGTTAGGTTATGTCATATGGAAACCACAGGTATTATCAGATGTGTGGCATTCGACTTATTCTACGCCAGGTTGAGTTATATCCCATTCATTATGTCATTAGCATTACCAGACAGAATTTCTGTATGGTATTCTCCTTTAAGAGCTTTACTTTATGCAC